CCAGCCTGCCCCTTCACACAGAAGGCTCTCTCCTACCTTCGTACACCTCAGGGAAAGGCTCACGCGGGGTCCCAGCTCTGCAACCCAATAGTCCTAAACTATGAGCTGAGCATCTCTGACCTTGGAATTTTCCAAGCTGCCAAGTGGGCTTCACTTTAGGGTGGTATTAAGCAGGGCATGGATGGCTCAGGCCTGTAATCTTAGGTACGTGGGAGGCTGAGTTTTGGAGGCTCACAGTTGGAGGCCAGCCTAGGCAGAAGAATGATCAAGACTCCCTTCTCAATGGATAGGTGAGCACAGCGATGTGTGCTCGTCATCCTAGCTATGGACAGGAAGCCTGAAATAGGGAGACAGCAGCTCAGGCGTATGCCCAGGGAAGGAAGTGAAGCTCCAATCTGGACAATAACCAGAGCAAAAAGATAAAAGGGCAGGGGGCATGGCTCAGTGGTAGAGGATCTGCTTAGCAAGTGTGAGGCACTGAGTTCAAACTCCAGTATCACACACACACACACACACACACACACACACACACACACACACAGATTCCTGGAGGAATATGATCACTTGTCTTCCCCTGGGACCGGTTAGGGTTCCTTCCTAGTGAGCCAGCTCCATGGGGGTGGGCATGAGGACCACACTGCCAGCGTCTGCTGGTCCTACATGACATCCCACCCAGCCTAAAGCTCAAGGGCTCCTCCATGTCTGTTTGGATGATGGAAAGCAAGCCTGGGCTCCTGGGTAGTCTGGCTTCCTGAGCTGGCTCTTGCTTGGAACACCTGCCAGCTGCCCAGCCCATCTGGCACCATCTGTGCTGGTGACAAATCCATCCAGCCAACTGCACACCTCGCCCTTGCCAGTCAGATAGTCAGGCTGGCCCGCTGTGGGGAGAGGAGCTCGCGCCCGAGGCCTGGCAGTGTTGCTAAGGGTCGCCGTGTGTCTCCACCTTGGTCTCCGGCTTCAGATGCCACGTCCCCTGTAGGGACCACTTCGGAGCCCAGCTGTCCCTGCTATTCAAGCCCTTCGCCTGGGCTCCGGACCAGATCCAGAGGTGGCGCCCTCTAGTGGTGCGAACTCCCGCAGGCGAATTCACCTCTGCATCCAGCCGAATGTGTCAACTGCATTCAGTTCCCACAATCCCTGGGTGGATGAGACACAACCATTTGTGCAGAGGCCTGAGTGCAGAGCCTGGATCAGAGCTGACCCTGCTGAGGTGGGGGCGGGGGGAGGGGATTAAAGGCTGCAGGGGCACAGCAAGGTGTCTGGAAACCCCTCCGTCTGGATTCTTGCTTATGTACTGTTCACTCTGACCACTGGCACAGGGGAGAGAGGATCTGTCAGGACCGGAGCCCCATGCATCTTATGAGCTACTGGAGTGGATTTTTATCACTATTTGCTTTCCTCAGGAAATGAAGGCAGAGTTGGACTCAGTGACTCAAGGCCAGAAACTGCAGATAGCATCTGCAGCCATCTCACGATGTAGCCTAGGTTAGATTTATTTATTTTTTAATTCTTTATTGTGATTGATTACATAATTTCCCAAATTTCACAGTATTGTGGGATAGTAATGCTTAAAGTCACAAACACATTCTAACTTTCATGGGGCAAATAGTTGATTGTGGTCTATAACATTTATGAGTTCTATGAGCTTTGCAATAGTTATTTCTTCCACATTGGGATATGTACATTTCTTTTGTTTTGCATAGCGTCAGCTGTTCCCTCTTTCCCACTCATTCCCTCCCTCCCATCACTGCCATTGAGTTGCTTAGTTCGTTTTGGTCAATGTCCAGTGCAGCTGATGGGTCCCGCTGTGGTATGTTTTTCCCTGATTCCCTCTAGTTCTGTGTTGTCCTCCTGGTTTCCCTCCAATGTGCACATATATACCATATATGTGATCAGCAGCACAGGGTTATTTATAGTGATTCGACCAGATGAGTGGAAGTCCTTTGTTTCTTAAGTCTTGTTAATTTTGTTGTTTCACCTTACATTTTGGATTTAACATCCACTTATCAGGAAGACCATGTGCCATTTGTCTCTGTGCTCTTGGCTTACCTCGCTCACCATGATTTCTTCTAGCTCCATCCATTTCCCTGCAAATGCCATTATTTTGTCCTTTCTAATGGCTGCATAATATTCCATTGTGTATAGATACCACAACTTTTGGATCCATTCATCTGTGGTGGGGCATCTGGGTTGTTTCCATATCCTAGCTATTGTGAACTGTGTTGCAATAAACATGGAGGTGCACGTGTCCTTGTATACTGGTTCCTGTTGTTCAGGATAGATGCCTAGAAGTGGTATGGCTGGGTCATAAGGGAGGCCAATATTTAGCTTTCTGAGGACCCTCCAGACTGCTTTCCAAAGTGGTTGTATAAGTGTACATTCCCACCAGCAGTGTAATAGGGTTCCTCTTTCTCCACATCCCCTCCAGCATTTGTCGTTGGCTGACTTTAGGATGTGGGCCATTCTGACTGGGGTAAGGTGGTATCTCAGGGTTGTCTTTATTTGCATTTCCTTCATAACCAGGGATGGTGAACATTTCCTCATGTGTTTATTTGCCATTTGCATCTCTTCTTCTGAGATAGGTTAGCTTTCAGTGCATCATCCTCCTGCCTCATTTTCCCCAGCGCTGGGATTTCAGGCATATACAACCACAGCTGGCCTGTGTTATTTTTGAGAAGTTCATGAAATGAATCTCTTCCCCCAGTTCTTTCGCTCATCTGGTCAGTTTAGGTTTCACCAGTGTTAGAAATCAGCCTGAGACTGGAGGAAGCCACATTCATGTGAGGGGGTCATGCCTGCCTGACCTGCCGCTCTCACCAGGGTGATACCTGCTGGATATGGAGGAGACAAGCTACAGCTTCGCTGCTGTCTGCAGCTGCCCAGACCAGTGTTTTCCAGGCTGAGATGCTCCTAGGCAGGTATGAGTCCTGTCAGCACAAAGCCCCATTCTTCCCAGTTATAAACACACCTCCTCTTGCTGAAATGATTTAGAAACACCGCAAGCAAATCGTTGGTTGTCAGAGTGCACACCACCAGTGCATTCCAGGGGCTCTACAGTGCTCTGTGAAAGCAGGATGAAATGCTGGGTGTGGGAAAGCTGGGTGCACTGAGTCTTCTGAGTGCCTCAAGTCCTCTGGATGGCAGGCCTCCGAAGGGCCCTTCCTTTCCCACAGCTCGCCTGGTCCCCCTTGGGTTATCCTCAGTGCCCCCAGCCACACAAAGCCATCAGTGAGGCAGGTGTGAAATGAGCTGGCTTGTCCAGTGGCTGTTAATTCCTGGACTCGGTACCCGTCCATTACCTCAATGTTCCCCAACCTACATCACACATGCTGTTGTAAGCTACTGTGCCGGTGGAACACGGACTCTCGCCGCAGCCACACAGCCCGAGGTGCTGGTGACCCAGGGGTGGGCCCCAGGGGTGCTGCTTGGAAATGTGCCAAAGCCTGGGGCCAGCATGACAGACGAGCAGCTGACACCCTCAAGGGGGCTGCAGGTCAGCACCGAGTCCTCTGGCCCCCTTGGGTCAGCTCTGTGTGAGCTGAACCCAGACACCCAATCCCAAGCCATCCAGGCACACGGCTGGATAGAGTAGAAAACACTGACACCATGTGCTCCAGTACAAATTTAATAAAGCCTTCCATACATCTTCATCCATAAGTTATCTACAAAAACAAAACCCACGACATTTCAAGAGCCATCAGCGTGTCAATGGACACCAGCTAGGAAAGCAGACTCAGCATCTCAGTGCAATGCCACACCTGCTGGAGGAGACTGGGGTGCAGCTCCAAGCTCCCCTCCACTGGCCAAGAGGACAGACAGGTCTGGGGTGTCGGAGCTGTGAGCCACCAGCTCCTCGCATCGCCCTGCCCTGGCTCATGAGGGCTCCATTTTGTCCGGGCAGGTGGACAGTTAACTGGCCGGCATCTGTGGACAGATCATCTGCGTGCAGCCAGCACAGCTTCAAAGAAGCAGTGTTCAGAGTGTGCAGGAGCCGAGGTGACAGCCCTAACTTCATGTCTTCAAATTCCCCGGCAGCCTGGCCCAGGAGGCCACCAAGCCCAGGGATGGCCCAGGGCACCCCAGCCAACAGCGGGCCAGCTACACCCAATGAAGGCCATGGAGACGAGCCTGCCTGCTTTCCTGACTCGGGGCCTCGTGCTGGAAGGTAGTCCCAGCTTTGAAGACAGCGACCATGGAGGGGAGGCCAGGCACTCGGGGTGTCTACCCTGGCTTGGGTCTGGTGGTGGGGGTGCTGGAAGCATGGGGGGGTGGGGGAGGGTGGCCTGGCTTGGAGACAGTTCCCATGGGAAAGGAGAAAAGCAGGGCAGAGGGGCATGATGGGTTTTAAAAGAAATCAAGTTAAAAGGATCCAACAAAATGGAAAGAAAAGACAGGAACTGGGGGGCGGGGCCCAGGCTCCCCGTGCTGAGGCTGGATGGGTGGCAGGACCCACGATTCTCAGGATATTAGTCTGTGGAGCGAAGGCACTGCCCAGGTGGACAGATGCCTGTGTTTGCTTCCTCATTAGACAGACCACCGGCACAGGGGCGCAGCCAGCGTGGCTGTGCCCTGAAGGAGCCAGCCGTGTGAGTTCGGGGTGGGGTGGGCTGGTGCGGACCCCCTGGAAGCTTAGAGAGGAGGGCGGTGGGGCAGACCACGTGGCTTTGCAGCGGGGACGGTGTCTTGAACTTCCTGCGCTCGGTGGCCTCTGCGGCCGGGGCAGCGGCCGCGTGGACAGGGCGCGGGTGGGGACTTTTGTCGGGTGCATAGCGGCTGGACGAGGCCTTACCTGAGTAGAGTTTTCAGAACGGAAGGAGAGGACCTCACGTGTGGCAGGCCACACCACGGAAAGCACTGTAGACTGCCAGTTGCGCGGGCTTGTCGGATATGGCCCATGGAGGAATAAGGAAGACCCACTGGAAGCCCGAACCAGGGGAGCCCTCTGCCATCGCCGGCCCGAGAGCCGTGGGCCCCTGAAAGTATGGAGAGGACCAACGGGGTGGAATGGGAAGTTTATTTTCAGCAGTCCCTTCCCAGTCCTGTTTCCTGGAGGCCTCGTGCCTGAGGATCTCGGCCACGGGAGACTCACGGCTGGGGAGAGGACGTGGGGACCAGTGCCGCCCGGTGCGCCGGTCACATTCCCTGGAGAGGACGGTGCTGGGTGGGCGGGGCTAGGACAGCTCGAAGCCCGTGTTCATGCTGATGGCGTAGCGCAGCTTGTCGCGGAGGGCGCTCTTCTTGCTGTAGTTGGGCAGTTTGAGCAGGTTGAAGCAAGTGGAAGAGGTGGGCAGCCGGCCGCCTGGCTCTCGCTTTCGGATGGTGAAGAAGCCCCGGAGGACACTGCCTAGGGTGTCTCCAGTGTCCTGTAAGTGCATACCACCACTTTGGGTTAGGGGACACCTGGTTTAGGGATCTGGCCAGTCTCTGGGCACCAACTGGAGCATGCGTGGTGGGTGCAGGCCCATGGCTTGAGGTCGAACCTCAGGGCAATGGCCTGAGGGACTGATTCTCCCACAAGGAATCTGGCACTGGGCAAGGCTCACAACAGACCTTATGGTTAATAGCCAATTGGCAGCTGAGGGATTTTCAAAGAGCATCGCATTGTAAGGCTACTTTAGGTTGGAAAGCATTCATCCCTGCCTCACCAGTGCTGTGGATCACGGCAGGCAATCACCTAGGCCAACATTCCCTTAAGATGAGAGGCCGGCTGTCCCACGCAGAGAGCCAACGGGCACTCACACCACACCGCCATGAAAGGCAGCAGCACCTCAAAGCCATGCAGCTGCGCACACCCAGAGATCACTCACCCCAGGCCGCTCGCATCTAGCAGACCACCAGTGTCCCATGCACAGGACTGGCAGGAAGGTGCTGCCCACGCCTGCCCCGTGCACTGCCACAGCACCAGCCGCATGGTGCCTTGAAGCACACGTGTTTTAGGGCCAGACCATCGCTCACGGCACCCCTACCTTCATCCTGATTCCCCTCCCCAAGTGAGGAAGAGGAAGGCCTTCCATGGGTGCTGTGCATGGCCGATTCTTTTGCCAGGAGAACTGCAGACCCTCCTCTCCAGGCCCCGAGGGGCCGGGCGCCCAGCTCGCTGAGGCAGACCCAGGGAAGGCCCCACGTGGTAGGCGCAGGAGCCAGCCACGCCCAAGTCAAGGAACCCTGCCCCAGTTTGGTACCTGATCGTCCGACACTTCCACACAGCGAATGGAGAACGGAGGCTTGAGGTAGGCGAATCCCAGGAGCGGGGGCCTGGAGCAGCTGGTCACGAACTGCAACATGAGGCAGGGTCAGAGGGGGCAGGGAAGGGCACCCGCCCCTTCACCGGCAGCCAGGGTGATGGAGGGGCAGCTGGCCTAGGTACCCAGGGCACGCGGGACATCTCAAAGGTGCTGCTATCTGGGGGGCCACCATGGGTAACTGGAGTTTGACAGGGAGTTTAGGCACAATGCAAGCTTCCACCGGGGCACTTCTAGGAGGCAGGTCTCTGGTGGGCCTGTGACATGCAAGGGTGGTCAGTGGTGCTTGCTTGTTCTTAGGGATGGGCAGCCCTGGAGGGGGCTGGGGCAGGGGCGAGGCACAAGCTTGTGGTGCCATAGGTTTGGTGTGGAGAGGGAAGTGTGTCCCTAATTTGATGCCCTGGAGTTGGGTACTGGGAGCCCCAGCACAGGACACCTGGTGTCAAGCTGGGCTGCTCAGCCCCGGAGGAGGCCTTGACAGGAGGGGACCTGGTCTGGAAGGTCCAGGTCCTCCTGAAGGAGGAGGAGCAGCTGTCACTGCTGTAGAAGTGACATTGCCACCTTGCCTCAACCACAGAGGCCACGCATGCTCAGGGCACATCCTGCACATGGCAGGGAGGGAAGGCTTTTCAGAGTGTGATGCAGGTGGTGAGATGATTCCATGTTTACAAAACTGTACCTGTTCATAACAAACATGAATGTCATCCAGTGTCCTATAGTACTGTTCAGTGAGGTGACATTTGGCTGGGGGAGGCATATTAGAAGTCACAACTATACTAACACTTGGATAGAAACTGATAAATGCCAGCCGTTCCATTTGCCAAAACACACACTGATAGCAACCTAAACAATTATGTGTGTGTGTGTTGGGGGGGGGGTCGGTTGTGGGGCTACAGCTCTGGGCTGGGAGCTGTTCCTGAGCTCTTCAGCTCAAGGTGAGCACTCTACCACTTGAGCCATAGGGCCACTTCCGGTTTTCTGGTGGTTAATTGGTGATAAATCTTTTTTTTTTTTTTTTTTTGGTCGGTCATGGGGCTTGAACTCTGGGCCTGGGCGCTGTCCCTCAGCTCTTCAGCTCAAGGCGAGCGCTCTACCACTTGAGCTACAGCGCCACT